CGACGCCGGCTGTCCGAGGGACCGAGGCTACGTGCGGCCGGTGAGGTAAGCCGCGACAAGCACGACAAATAATCATTTTCCATCAGGACACCGGCGTCGGACCACACACTGTGAAAAACATTCTTGTAAATTTACGACATATTTTGTCATAAATATTAAGAAAAAATGGTGTTGAAAATAATGACACCTCAAGCTCATCGATGAATTCCAAGTCGATACATTGTGCTTGTAATTTCACAATTTTAAATTGTAGTTTTACGAAACGCGTCAAGGAAAATTTTTCCGTAAAATTTACAACTGTTTTTCACAGTGTATGTGGGACGAATAGGCAAAGCTGGGGTCCTGCGTCCTGCATGCATTTTTCATAAATACCCCTACGCATTTAGAATAATCATTGCAGCACACAACTGCTTCTATTATTTTTTTATATGTGGAACCTATACACATATACAGAAGTAAGGATCGACTCGACGCATGGTGCTGTCTAATGTAGGACACGCCTGATTTGCAGCAGTCCTGTCCCTTTTTCCGTACGCAATACGGTACTGGTACTAGATGTAGATTCTTGCACGCTCGTACAAAACCCTTCCACTATTCAAGACGAACGCGAGTAACGAGGGGGACATCTCGGATCAGCAGAGAACCGCTTTCCTTTCCCTTTCCACAGATGCGGCGGCGGCGGCCACGGGATGAGCCGCGAGGGCCGGGGGCCGGGTCGTGTGAGAACGGGTCCCACAGTCACTTCATCAGCAGCGAAGGAAAGGAAGGAGAGAAAAAACAGGAGGAGCGGTTCGCAAAAGTGTTGGGAAGGTAGCCAGGTTAGGCCTCGTTGTGGGCAATTAGTCGCGATGAGCCCGGCTCAGCCCCGCACCACTGTGCAAAATATCCTCCTAAATTTACAATAAGGTTGTAATGAATATTGTTCACAAAATTATTTGGTTATTTTAACTATATATTTACAGCGATCCTCGAATTCACTCCACAAATTGCGTGGGCCCGGCGCCTGCGAGACCCGGGGTAGGCCACCCCGCAGTACACGCCTGCGCCGGGAGCAAGATGTTGCCTATCCGTCAGGCGCTATGAGAGCTTGCATGGGCCAGATTTGGCAGTTTGGTAAAATCGCAAGCGGACGCGTGCACTTTCCGGATGATCCCTTCTTCCTTACCTCCGCACGAGTGGCCCGCATGCCCTGGCTGCATCGATCGCACGCGGAGAACGCGCAAGTAGTAACTGCTCGCTTCCCAAGAAGAATAACAATCGGAATCGAATAGTCCACAGCAGCGAGAACTCTGCAAGGCAGCCAGCAAGGGGGCAGGCCAGAGCAGAGAGTGTGGGTGAAAAAAAAGAAGGAAAATACAGGTGGTGGAGTATACTAGAGCAGCATTCGTATAACCGTAAAAAAAACACAGCAGTGTTAGCAGTAGTACTAGAAGCGGCAGCAGTAGTGGCAGGAGCGGGGCGCGACACTGTAAATAGGACGAATGCAATGGGCCAACTGATTGCAGGCTGGAGCGGCGCGGGTAGGAGTTTGCGGTGCCCAAGACAAACAAGGTTAGGGACGGGGGCTTTACTGCCTCCGAGAAGAGCCCAGCCGAACGGCGGCGGCATAGGCATAACACTGCTGGCGCACAACAGTGCGGAGGAGCAGCATGCACCGCGGAGACTCCGACGCGGGAGGTGCACCAAAGAAATCATGGACACATTTGTCCTAAGGTACACAATATAATAATATAAATCTTTAGATGTATGTAGTAATCGGATGAAGAGTTTTTCATTCCCTGGTGTTTTCACGTGGGAGCAAGGTGGTAAAACGATCATACATTTCCGACGCCGGGAGCAGCAGCTAGAAGATTTAATCCCATTATTGCCCAGCCGGGCAAGGTCAGGTAAGAGACGGTCCGAAAACATACACCACCCGAGATGAGCTCGTTATGAGATGTGTGTGTGAGAGAGTGAGTGTCTGTATGTGTGTGTGTGTGTGCCCGCGACGGTCCCGCCCACGCGGAAGCTGCACGCGACCCTGCAATTAATTCCAGTGAAGGCTGGCTCCAGGAGCACGCGGCGTACGGACGGAGTGTGGAACGGTCCGACGGTCCGTAGCCCAAATTTCGTGGTATTACGGCACGGCGTCGTAAAACCAGGTAAAACGGAAATCTCCAGTTCAAAGAAAAAAATTGCGGGAATTTTTATTTTTTACCCTTCCTGAAAATTTATTTGCATTTGTTCCTACACGCAAACGGGATCGGGAACTTCGTAGGCAGTGTACAGATGTTTCGTTCCGTAGACGTCAGTCAGGGTATTCGCCAAGAAAAAAAAACTCTGCGTGTTTTTTTTGTTATTATTTGAACGTAACAAGTACATGGTCCATCTCCAGCAGAGAGCAGAGGTCAGGTCAGTGCCGGGCGGGCGGGTGGGAGAGAGCCTCCCCGCGGGCCCAAACAAAGTAGTGACACTGCACTACATAACAGGCTATAAATCTAGAACATGACAAAAGAGGATGATTCATGGTGACGGGACGCAAGCGTGGGGTCGTCGTGACGGCGCGGGGGGTGAGCGCCGGGGAATGCGTGCCGTGCCGGCCTGCTGCAGCATTCCCAAGCACTTCCGGATTAAAGGAGCGGGAAAAATTCAAATCAGAGAAAAAGGTACCTGCTGCAGCAGTGGTGTGGTGTGGACGTGCACGACGTGGACATGGGCGCGTCGGGCGTCGTGCACACGTTCACGGCCTTGTCCTTGACGTGATCCTGGGGCTTATCCGATCGCCCCCCCTCCCCCTCCCTCCCACACACACACACACAGCGAAGAGTGAGAAATCGTACCCACATTAATCATATGGTGCGAGCATCGCGCCAGAGTGCAGAGCAGCCTATTCAGCAACAGACGCGAACTAGCGCGCCACCCAACGATACCTGACGATACAATCGATAGCTACGATCCTCTGACGGGCCGAGTACACTGGATACCATACCACGAAGGTCACGGAAGGTCTTTCCGCCCGATCATCGCCTCAGGAGCCCAATTATCAAACGTCACTTACTATACATCGAGATGAAACTCTTCCGAGATGAACGCTTCCTGGCAGCGAAACACAAACGCGCGGCTCCTCAAATAAACTACCCACCAACGCGATTGATTTGAAACTAAGGAGATCGTCCAGATAGCTCGTCCGTTTTCTCAGATTCATTCGGCAAATGACGCAGGAGCTCGGCGCCTGCGAGACTGTGGGTAGGCCACCCCACAGGGCACTCATGCAACGCAGGCAAGATGTTGCCTACCTAGCAGGCGCCATGAGCGCTTTGCATATTTATGTTACGCTGACGCATTTTACAAATTAGAACCAGTTGAAAATGTTTTCAGAGCAGGAAGATCAATACTCCAAGAAAAAAATTCACGTGGATGCTAAAACATGTGAGTACATTTTGTTCCGTGTGTGTAGGTGTGTGTGTGCCACGACGCGGCTGGAGAGGCACGTTCCATCAGCAGCGACCGCTCCACTTCCGAGGCAGACATTTGGCCGCGGTGGCGGGCTGGGCTCGGCTGGGCTCGGCCGGGCTGGGCTGTATAAGGCCTATTCGCGAGGCAGTAAGTATGCTCTTTATTCGCAGGCATATGGGCCTCTCAGAGAAACTAAACCCAGTACAGGACGGGACGGGGGG